GGAATGAGCCATTTTGCTGGACATATACCTTGTGTGTATGTGTCTCCTTCCCTACGCAAGATGAGCCCTGGGCCGGACAGCGTGGGCATAACCCCCCCCACGCATCACATTTCTGCTCCTCCTTTTTTTCAGTCTCACATTTCACAGTTTAAAAATTCATCATAGTGGATAAAAAGACTGGCTATATTTATAATATTGAGTTGTCGGTCCATTTACACAGCAGGTGCAACAAAAAATTCTACCCTTGAGTTTCTATTCTCCATTAACCTTGTCAGCAAATGAAATCTGTACCAGTGTAGAAAAAATCACACATTTTTCTGCCTCTAGGTAGAGAAGGAGGAGAGGAACAGGTAGCAGCAACCTTGTCTCTCTCTTGGTTTGGGGTTCATGCCAGCTGCATTGTTTGTAGGCTTTCTTTTCTGGCATTTTCCCTTTAAGCATATATCTCTATTAACACCAACACATTATGAGAAGATTACAAGGTTAGGCTTACAGAGTCAGTTACTCAAACACACTGGAACACCAAAATTTTGGTTGCCTTAAAAAATAAGTATGGGGATGCAGAGAACCGAAGCATCATCTTACAGAACCACGTTGGTTTATAATCTCCCTAGTTAAAAAAGTAACCCGTGTCTATATCCTATATGAACCAGCTACTACCAGGAACAAGAAATGTGTTGGATATTTGGCTTTGCAAGCATTTTCCAGCAGCAAAGAAACTTTGTCTTCTGCTCCTCTGGGTGTGGAATGTTCAGTATCCTCGGGTCTCAGCCATTCTCCCTCTCATCACTTTCCACTGATTTTCTCTTCTTCCCTGTACACTTGCCCTGGCACCTCACCCCTCTCTGCTCTGCTCCAGTACCCAGCCTGCTCTGGTTTGTGTTTTCACTAATATGCAACCCCACTGGGGTACTGCTACTTCACCTCCTGGATCTCCCACTATTTCTCCCGCCCTGGTTTGCCCATCCTGTTTTGTGCCACTCCTTTTTCACTTTCTGATCACTAAGATTTGCACACAAAATTCCCCCCGTGGCACAAAGGAAGCACCAGTCTCAAGGAGCTCCCCATTCCTGCTCTACATTTCTGATCCCATCTCCATTCTTCCCTACTTTGTTCCTGGCAAAGATGGACATTCTTCTGACACTTTGCTTTCAGGGTAAACAAAATATTTTTTCCTTAATTTTATTCTTGGAAGCAGCTCTCTTACTTCAGCTGAAATAGCAAAAAAATCTTGAAAGGAAAAGGCTGCTTTTAGAGTCTTGCACTGTCCTTGCACTGATAGCCTGCCTAGGAGATACAATCCAGTCCTCTGTTGTTCAGATAATTTGGATAATGTTTAAGTTAGATTATCAGGAAAAAAAAAATTAACCGGAGCACACTAATTTAAATTCACTCAGTAAATGTTCTTGAGTGAGTTTTTTCACAGCCCTTTTGGTCAACAGTAAACCATGTTTATGAACTCTGACCACAGATGAATTTCACGAGAGGTGGTGGAGTCTTTTTGTTTGGTTGGTTGGCTTTTGTTTATTTTGTTTGTTTGTTTGTTTGTTTGTGGTTTTATGTTGTTATTTTTAAAGAAAAAAGGAAACATGAGCTTCTGTTTGTTCAGCATGTCCACATTCCCACTTCTGGGAGTCAACATAGTCATACTAATATATCACTGTCCCTGTTTGAAAAACAGCCCCAAATTTATGGCAGGCGCCAAACCCTAAAATAAACATATAGCAAACAGTTCTGGGAGCAGTAGGAGCAGCAAAGCCTGATTTATTACAGATGAATTATGGCTGAATTTGCTAACAAACTAAGCTCTGACCAATGCTTTTCCCTTGGTTGAAACAGACAAGACATCTATTTCACCTGAGGTCTGCCTAGTGCAATTGGGGATGTGCTCATGTAAGTCTATCCCTTACTGATCTCTTTGTTTTACCTAGTCACTTATCAACTTCAAACCCGTTGGAAAATGGTGTATCCAAGTCCTCTAAAATTCAGCAAACCAGCTTGAAAGTCATTGGAGGAATTATCCATATATGTGTATTCTCTACACACAGAGAATAGTGGGAACAATAAATCTTAAACCTATGCAGTAAACTAGATACTTTTTCATAATTTTGCAAGCATTGACGCAACTTTACTTTCTGAAACATGTCTATAATATCGACTGATTCTGTAGATCATACCTGAGCTATTTTTAGGTCATGGAAATATAAAATTGAAATTGTAATATGAGGGATCTGCAATACCCCAGTGAGAAATAACTGTTTATAGAGGAATGTGTCAAAGCCAGCCTTTGATGCCATTGACTGCTATTACATGTTTATGCAGCAAAGGCACACACACTCCGCTGTGGGGCACCTGTGTTGGAAGCTTCGGGGTCAAAGAAATGAATGTCTTTCAACTTGGTTTTCACTTTGTTTCTTAAATGTCTTAGTGAGAATATCCAATATAAAAAATTTAATGTGATTTCTCCAGACAGCAGGAGGTACGTGAAAACTGATGGCACATTCCCACAAGTAGAGTTTACACTATGGGGAACAAACGATTCCAAAAGTCAAAGACAGTGAAGACAAAGATCTCCTAATGCGAAGGACCAGAGGTGAAAATTAGTGGGGAAATAAGAAAGGAGAAAATAAAGAACTGATAAATCAGAGAGAATAACATTAAATCTCTGAATAATCTACGATACTTTCCACAACCTTCAAAACTTCAAACAGTTCTTTGAATTAATGTGGCTATGTAGAATACATATTGCTATTCCAGCAGCCCATGTGAATACAAATTTCAACCCTAGGAAGAGCATGTTCTTTCAGGGCACTCATCAAGAACTGTTTGAATACCTGTTCTGTCTATTCAGTCCTATCCTATCCTATCCTATCCTATCCTATCCTATCCTATCCTATCCTATCCTATCCTATCCTATTACATCATACTTATCATTGCATTGTCAAAATCATTCAGCTAAATGTTACATAACATGACAAAACTGTTGCATACAGTAATCGCAAATTTGTAGCAATTATTTTACTCTCTGGAGAATGTGTTCCAGAAAATAATAAAAAATTCCAAATTCATATTACACCGACTAATTTATATTTATTAAAAAATTAGGATAGTTGCACAAAATACAGATCGAATCCTTGTGTTCCTGAAACTACAGTTACACAGAAAGTAGCTCTTGGAGTTGGGGCTGGTCTCCAGAGATAACATCCCCACAGCCAGAAAATCCCAGCTGGTAGTTTTGCTGATTTTGGTAGATCAGACACCAACAACTAATTTTGAACCTTTCAATTGCCTCTGTGAAACTACCACATTGTCTTATTTGAGTGTCCATTTTCTTCTTGATTTCAAGAGGAATTTCTGGGTGTAAACTTGACATCTAGAAGTGTCTGTGGCTTTGACCTCCACTGACTGTGAAAGGTATCTGAAAGCTGCCCCTCCGGAACCAAAATGGCATTGTGTGATTTCACTCTGAAGTGACTGCCAGGGAGGAATGCTATCCACTTACTCTTCAATATTTGCTGTTGTTCCAGAGTTTCACAGTTGCGCAGTTCCTGACCCAAGTGAATTTGACCTGCGAGGCCTTATGATGGATAGCCCAAAGTGATGAAACCTTTTTGACTAGACCTCAGGGTTCCAGTGTAACAACAATGACAAAAAAAGATAGCTATGAAACTAAATAAAGACCTCAAAGATAAAATTTCTCTTTTAAGATCAATGAAAAGGTTTTATTTGAAGAAGTTATTGCCCGTTTCTGTGAATAATGAGGCTGCTGCCAGAAACCTAAGAGATATGTCCCCCCAGGCCATGGTATAAAACTAAAACCAAGTGAAAGGGACTATAATATATTAATTAGTAAGTGGACTTCCAGCTTCTAATTAACAGTCTCCACTGAAGTTTCAGTAATTCCTAAGCATTCCATAATAAAATAGAACCCACTTCACGGATCCAAGCAACAATGGATTAATTCAGTGAACTTCTGAACTTAGTGTGAGGACTGAGTTCTAATCTTAAATATAAGGTGGATTAAGAAGGAAAATTCCAAGAACACAAAAAGGCCAAGACAAAACCAACCAACCAACCAACCAATCAATGGACAAAAAAACAATGAGGCAAGACAAATTTGTTATCGTAGGTTGTTGCAAAAACTACAGGAGTAGGATTGCCTGATGCCATTAAGAGATTTTTTTAAAGGAATATAATTACTACCATCTATAAATTAGTCTTTTCAGCTGAACTTCACTGAAACATTTGTTTTCTTTTTTCTTCCTTTTGACTTAATACATATAAAATAAAGGGTTCAGTTATTGAAGAATCAAATACTTTAAATTTGCTGAGATATTCTGAAGACTCCATGTCTGTGGTCAGATGCCAGAACCCTTGGGCTTCAATTAATTTGCATCTTGGGGTGGACAAAGATTTCAGTAGTGTTATGTCAAGGCTAAAGTGTGAATGTACTAGACTTATTACCACTCTTTAGACACAAGAAGATCTACAAGTCGAGGAGCAGAGAGGCAGAGGAGGAAGTAAAAAGGAGATATGCATCAGAGTGCCTGACCACTCTCTGCCCAAATTCTTCAACTTTAGTATGAAGTTCTCTCCCTCAAAAGAGGTCTCTCCAATGTGGATCTTCAGGAACTTTGCCAGAATTAAACGCTCTGTGTACTCTGCTGCTCTGTCAGATGTCACTGAGTGACTGGAGGTTGCAAGGTTACAAAGGATGGGCAGGACATGTACATATGAACCACTGTGGCGTAAATCTTTTTCTTCAGAAATCCAGACTAGAGTCAAATCCTTTGACATGTGTTTTCTATGGCATACTGCTGCTTAGTCATGAGGAAGTGATGCAGGACAAGAAGGAGTTCTCTTCGAGAAATACAGTTTTCTAAGAATTTTTATAGTATATTCAACTACTGTACATTTTCCTGAAAAGTCCTATTTCTTTGAAAGAAGAAAATCAGAAAAATACTTTTCTTTTCCCAAGAATCCTGCTTTTCATCTTCAGCATGGTGTTAAAAGTTCATGAGGATAAAAAAAGACAGCAAAAGGCACAGCAAAGCAGTAAGTCTGTGCTGCTTATTCTACTAAGCAATGTTACTGTTCCAGTAGCCATCTGGCTTAACAGTCCCCTATTTTGAATTTTAGCATTACAAGTTCCCAAGAAAAAAGAATTAACTCTAAAAATTTTAACATTAAAAGTGAAAAAGTCTATGCACTACAAGATTCAGTAAGAATGCAATATTTGGGTAACTTTGGATTAGATTTACCATAAATTAGAGGGTTATAGAAAAATGTATTTCAGGAAAGGCTGAGTTTCTCCTTAACAAAAGATATAGCCTTTTTTTTTTTTTCTAAATTAAGTTAGAATAACCCTAGAAGGGCTCTTCATCAGTATTCTGCTGATAAAATGCTATTTATGCAAGCAGTGAAGAGCTAAGGAAATTACAAAGGTCTCAAAGAAATATAAAGAAAAAAACCCAGTGACTGTACTAGAGTTGTCCTCTCACCTGCACAATGCAAGTTTGCACATTACTTTTCTGTATCTCAGTGCCTGGGATTTATTTGATGCATGGAAGTATGAAGATGAACAGTGGCTTTCCTCAGCTCTACAGAAAGCAGCTCCACAACTGCAATGAGCAAATATCCTGCACGATGCAATGACAGTGAGGGAGGATTGAGTTTTAATTCTCCTGTGCCAAACAAAGAAGTTGCAAAACCTTCTATAGAAGGTGAAGAATTTCTCAGTATGGGAGAAACAGTGGCTTATGTCAGTTCATACTCAGTATCTATTCTTATTTTTGCCCATATTATAAAAGATTTTGTTATTGATTCTATTTTAAGACTCAAAAAGAAAATCAAGTTAGGAACAGAACAGTACAGAGATACACCTAATAGATCATCTGGGTTGCCTACCTACAACTGAACATACTTCCATTATTGTGCAACGTACTTCAAAGACACAGTGTCCTACACAATAATCAATGTCTGAATTTGCAGAGGAAAAGGAAGAAATTATGCTTGATTAATAAATGTTCTTGACTGAGCAATTCAACAGAACAGGACATAGAAAGGGAAAAAGATCTTGGTATTGTGTTAGCAAGTTCAAAAAAATGCAGCGAAAGTAACATCTGTGAGCCATATAAAGTAGGAGGCAGAGAAATAACAAATGAGACAGATGCAGTCAGACATGGCAAGACTCACCTGCAGGATAAATTATTCCATCTAACCACCTCTATCTCCGGGACCTAAAGATCTCCCATGGTCTCTAACATTTTTTAACTGGTTTGGAATCTTCCATTTTTTGTGTGGGTTGCAGCACCATGAACATACTATATTGAGTATAATTTATATATTGTATATTGAGTATAAGTCATATTGAGGATAATGTATTTAGTATTTTTTTTGTTAAATTTGTTTTGTGTAAAATGAAACCCACAGGGATATTAGATACATTAATGTGAGCAATTACCAGCACTTTTTTACTAGTTGAATGCAATTTTGTCAATTTGGTAAAGATGAGTAGGACTACAATAAAAGGAAAGCACGATTTTCAGACATAACTGTTAACTCCTGGAGCTCTTTCATCTTCCTCAATACAGATGATGAACTACAAGCACTTGTGGTTCATTGGCTGCTTCCTGGTAGTCCCATTGCACAAGCTTATCTCATACCACTTTTGGGATGAGAAACAATAAAATGCACAAGCAAATATTTCCATAAATTTGGCATTCCTTTGATGAGAAATGTTTAGAAGTTCAAGATAATTCAACATTGGAAATACAAAGAAGAATATGTAGTTAAATTTAGACCACTGATAGACAAGGTTTGCCTGTATGCAGAACACTAGTTTATAGGTATTTTATATTAAGAGCAGGTAAGCCACATTTCTTTGGCTTATCCCTTTTTTAGTGAAATCTCTGTGAAACACCAGAAGATTCCTCCCACAGTGACTTTGAACCATAAGTATGCTGACCTTTAAAAATCAACAACACTTTGTGGTTTTGTTCTTATCTTTCCTCTCACTGACAACTATGATAAAATTGTTGGCAGACTGTCAATATCTCAGACCACAGACTTTTAGTGAGTCACCAACTGTTCGGATACCTTGTTATTCCCAGCCCAGTTTCTTCCTCAAGCCTCGAGGGACCACTGGTGTGGAAAGTGCAAGATGTTAGTTGTGATTCTGGATCTGGCACCTTTATAGTAAAGCTATCCTGCCTTGAGCCCTAAGGCAAGAGCAGCTGTATATCAAAGTGGCATTGAGTTTCACAGTTGCCATAGTGGGTATTTGACATATAAAAGGACTGTGCTGCTTTGGGGTCCCAAAATCGGAAAGGCTTTGCAGTCTCATGAGAATATTATTATATTGGTTTCACCCAAAGAGTACAGGTTATTTGGAACAGAGAAACTCACTCCCTTGAAAACTTTTTTTTTTTAGAGATAAATGCTACTCCACCTCCACCTCAGTGGTTCTCAGTGTTTTTGTTGTATTCTTGTAAGAGCAGAGGTACTGGTGAATTCTGCTGTAGCAAAGATGCCAGCCCAAATCCATAAGCTTAGTGCTAGTTGAATTTACCTCTTGAAATCAGTGAAAAAACATTAAACCTAGCTTCTTTTACCTGAGATAGGAGGTGCAGGAGAGGCCAACAGAAAAGAGACAAACATTTTGTGTTGCAATCCTCATGATGAAGCCACATCATTTCCCTGAGCTGTGGCAATGCTGCTGCAAGAGTCCTACAGGGAGAAGCATAAGGAACAGATCAAGTAAAGACTGCAGCAAAACAGTGCAGGGCTGCAGGATCCCATGTGGTACTGGACTGTATGAGCTGGGGATGAGGGAATGAGACAGGCTTAGCAGGCTAAGTGTCTGATGAGTGAGGGGAAGAAGATGGGAATATGGATATTGGTTGGGTGAGGTTTGAGTGGTCACAGTTCTGGCTCTGGTTTCATTAGAGTTTGGCTTTGGTTTGGCTTCCTATGTAGATCTAGTAATCTGGTTGGTTTGATTTGGTTTGGTTTTTTCCCCTCAGTTTCAAATCAAGACCAGCAGCAGGTGCTTTTGTACAGCTGACTCAATAGGCTCCTCATGTTTTTGCTCTTGACATGTATAAACGAATGTAACCAGTTATCACCATTGAGGGGGACTACAGAGGGCATTCACTAGCAAAAAAACAAGCAAAACTTTTACTGAAAATCCACCCTTGTGAGTTTTGGATGTCATGTATGTGTCCCTACAGTATTTGAAATAAATTTCATCTTGTGATACTTAATATAGCCATCCCTAGTTCAGTCACATATTAGCTTAGTAAGAGGAGACTTAGTCAGAAGAACAGTGACTTACTAAAGAAATAAAATACATCTTTCAGATCTTTCTCTCAAAGCACAGTAAGAGGTGTCAGAAAGCCCCCTTACTTGAAAGTTTCTGGCCTAAGTCCAACCACTGCAGGAGAGATAAATACATGGGTGTGGGTCACTCTTTAAAGCACTATGTTCAAAAGCAATCTTTAGCCACAACAAAGCCAACCATAACAAAGAGTTGTCCAACGAGTGTCTTTCTAATGGCCTCAAGTGGACTTCATATTATGCCTTGGTGCTAGTGCCTATTAGCTGAGCAGAGTAAAGTTTCATGAAATTGGAACCTCACTGTCTAAAAATTGTGAGCCTTTTATATGTTCCCCTGTACTTCAGATGCACTATAAAGTAGGATTTCTCCACATAGTTGATATGTAGAATGCAAATACTATGAATCTGTACACATACAAGAAAAAACAAATCTAGTGGCTAAGTGACCCAAACTAGGAGCTGGCAACTATATTGATTTCAGAGATTAGAAGGTTTACTCCTTTTTGGTTTTCAGAGACATCTAAACAGTGTGGCATATTTAGCATTGTCCATTAAATGTGATACGATAGAAAACTACTACTTGCTTAAACCTCTAACGAATTGGTACTTAAAGAACAGAAGAGCCCTAAGATGCTGAAGCACATCACTGTCTCAGGAGCACTCCACAACAGTAAGGTTGGAAGAGACTAAAAATAGTGTATACCTGTTTGAATCTGGGATGGCTGAAGCCAGGTAGAGATGAGCAAGAGACTTTGTAATTAAACTGCAATGTAAGAAAAAGTCATCCAGTGCCCTTAGAGAAACACATTCCAGATTACCCATCAGCTCCTGGGCTGCTTGAGGAAGCTGCTGATAAACTGAGGCCTGACTTGTAACCACCCTGAGCTGTGTAACTCCTATGGTTGTCTCTACAATGCCTATTCCTCTTTAAAACTCCACACTGCTGTTTCTGATTCCCATGATCTGTAGAGACTGTCTAAACCCAGAGCTCGGGATGAGTTTCTTTGGTGGTGTGGGCCTCACCCACCCTTTGTGAACTGAAGTTTCAACACATCACCATTGGTGGCAAAGTCTCTGACCAGCTGTTGCACCAATGGCAGCTGGTGATTGATCACAACCCTAGAGCGGCGTGGGAGAAAGAAGGGCTAGAAAAGGTTTAACTTAGCTGTCTTGCACTGACATAACTGCAGTTACCATTCTTTCAAGTTACTAGGCACATTTCTTTTTCTTTAAGTGTCTCATCTGAGGCTCTTTGCATTGTTTCTCTAACAGCTTTGAGGATATTTATGTTTCTATTAATCTTCTATTAAGACTTTTTCATCTTTCATTTTATGATCTCACATTGCCTTTCCTTTGATAAAACATTCTTCTGTTAAGGTACTTCTCTGTGATATTTGGAAAGAACAGACTTTGAAACAAATTAGGCCTTGATTAGTCCCTACCTGTTTGTCTTCTCTCTCTGTCTCTCCTTAAACTTTTCAGTGAAAGCACAGATTTCAACATAAAACTTGAATTCTTGAGATTAAAGCATGCAGTGAGGCTCACTACTTTTTATCTGAAATGGGGTAGACAGCAGGTAGGATTTAGTGCATTACCTTTTTCTCTAAATTACTATATTTATTTTTTTCTGCTCTTATTCTGTCCCACTGCCATATCTGTATTGGAAAGCACATTAGAAAAGAGGAAAAAGGAGAATAAAATGGATTTGCTGCCTCTCTGAGGTAATTTTTTCCCCCCATTGGTTTCTGTGAAACGATCAAAGCCATCTACTTAGATAGCAGAAGAAGGTTTAAAATGTTTGTCCCCTGTTTTCCTGCTGCTCTGCCTGAGCCTCTTTTTCCCTTTGTCATTTACAGTATTGGTAGCTTCATTAACTAGGGGCTACAACAACCAAACCTGCCCGATTCTCCAGGGAGAGTCCTCTCTCCCCGTCTTCAACTACCTATTTTGCTATTGCTGCACATTCAAACCAGGCCCTTTTCCAGCTAGTTTGACCTGGTCAAACAACTAAGAGCAGCCCTAACCTAATGGTATATCCTGGTGGATTGAATCCCTCCTGGGTGAATGCATCCTCACCTCACACAGAGCATCCCCAGCCATGTCTTTGCTCACCCAGTACGGTTGCTGGAACATGGATAAAGGCCAGGATCGAGGAGAGAACTGTGGCCTTGCCCATTTGTAGCTGGTTCTTAGTCATCTGTTGGACCTATGGGTCATGTACCCTAGCCAAAAGTGGTCCCCATGCCAGCCAAATTTAAACAGAAGAAACAGTCCAGGTTTTAGAGGGTGTGCAGCTTGCTCTTTGCACCCCTCAACCCTTTTTGTCTCACCACCCAGGGACTAAAAGTTTTGCTACTGCTAACAGCAGCATCATACTTACTTCATGGAGTTGTAAAATGTCTGGCTTTTCTGTGTAGGAAAATATGGATTTGGATGCACTTCCAAAACACTGAAGGGAAACATGCAAAGATAAGTCAGCTCAACACAGAAATCATGAGAACAGTCATTCTCAGCCAGTGAAGGAAGATGATAAAGCATTCATCAGTAACCTCTAGAAGTTCAGAAAATCAGTAGCAAAGAATGCTCTGCCACCACAACATGTACCTGTCCAGTGGATTTTCATGATACCAAAGCGATGCTGAAAATAGAAGGACCTCCCAGCATCTTGTTTTGCACCAAGGAGGTACCCGTTCCTTTGGGGTCTGAATAAGAAATGCATAACCAGCTTATTGTATAAATAATAGAAGTACTGTAAAAGATGATATCAATAATGGATACTGTGACAGCACTTCTGATGCTAATAGCTGTACTAGAAGGGGTAATAACAATCTCACCTCCCTGCTTATGCTGCAACCCCACCTATGGCAGTCCTAGATGAGCCCCTTCATGGATCATGGCACAGTGCACACATCCCACCGGTGCCCAGGTTCATTGCTGTTGTGGTCTGTACAGCGTTTTTAGGATTTTCGTAGAAGTAAACAATTCTGGTGATGAATTCTGCTGGTGGGTAAAGGAATGCTCATGTGGGCATTTTGCTCCTTCTCAAGATAAGACAAAGTACGTAGATGTTGCTCTCCAGATGTACTGCATGGGACCCACACTGAGGCATCTCTGTTACAGCTTATCAGTTGAGTTGGTCCAGCAGTCACCAAGTGGGCTGAGAGTGGTACACTCCTACACATCTCTGCTGGAACAAGCTAAGGAGAGTCATGGGATGGGCTCAGGTTATTTGTCAGTTACTCATGCTAATATACAGGTCTCTACAATCAAAGTCTGTGGTCATTCTCTGCCTAGATTTGGTGAGAAATCACTATATCCTAGTTACCAGGTCTTCTGCAGGGGCCCACTACACAGGTCCAGTGAATCACAGGAAATCTGCTCTATCCCAAAACCCCACTTCCCCTGTGCACGGCAGAGAAAATGTCATATTCTGTTAAAATCAGTTAGTTATGAGAATTTTTTAGCTGAGACAAAAAAAAGGACTGGAAAGAAAGCTACAATCCACAATCTTGGTACATTGAAATGTTTCCTTGATTTTGTAAACAAGGTTGAATTGACAGGTAAAATAGCAATGTCCATTCTGTGTGCCTTTGAAAACAGCTGTCAAGAAAGATTAAAACCAACATTATTTCCGGTCTAAAAATAAGCTCTGAAAAGCACTGTACTGCATGTATCTCTCAGTCATGCTTTGTTCCTTTTGCACTGCTCTGGCACAAATGGGCTCTCAGACCGGCTGATAACACTGATCACCTTGGAGGGAGAGATAAAAGGAGTCTCTTCTTGAGAAGACTGAGAACTCTCCTCCCTATTAGGTCTTGTCTGTTTGTTTTAGTTTTAGTTAAATGGGAAAGTTTTTTGAGAATTTTTTCATACCATCCCGTGGTTCAGAGCATGGGGAACCCCACTCCTAGCAACTGAGCTGAGCCAGGGAGGGACTGTTCCCTGCATCTCGAGGAGGGGGGTTCCTGAAGTGAAGCATTACAAGAACTCAGGAAACGGGATAAAATCCCCAGCACTTCCAGAACTTTTTCTGCCTTTTTCCTGGGTATCATTGCCAAGTGAAAGGACCATCACAGCCTCCAGGCTGGACACTTCAAAGAGCTCCCCTGGATCATCCCAGCCCTACCATTGTCTCTTCACACGGTTTTCTACATCAGAACCCACACAATGTTTCCCTTGTTTAGTCACCTAGGACTTTACCTGACTGCCATGGAGAGTGACTTGGCAACTATATCAGTCAATTCCCTCAGGACTCTGGGATGCATCTCATCAGGTCTTATAGACTTATGTACATACAGGTTCCTCAGGTGGCCATGAACCTGATCTTTTCTTACACTGGGAGGGACTTTGCTCCCCAGTCCCTGTCCTGCTCTCCATCCACTTGAGGTGTGGGAAGAGAGGTTGTTCTTGAAGACTGAGTAAAAGAAGTTGTTGAGTACCTCAGCCTTTTCCTCATCCAGCTTACCAGCGCTGTTTATCAGGGGGCTACACCTTCTTTGATCTTCCTTCTCTGGTTAACATACCTGTAGAAGCCCTTCCTGCTACTCATTGGATCTCTTGTCAAGTTCAGTTTCAGCTTTGCCTTGGCCTTCCTCACTCCATCCCTACACAACTGAACTTCATCTCTATACTCTTCCCAGGTCATCTGTTCTTGTTTCCACTGCCTGTGCATTTGCTTCTTTCCATTTAGTTTGACCATGAATTCCCTACACAGCCATGCTGGTCTCTTGCCTTTCTTGCCTGACTTCTTGCTCCCGTGGATGTTAATTTCATTGCTATTTTCATAATTTTTGCGTAGGAAAAAAAGTGCTATGAATTAAACATTATTTTGCTCCAGAGACCACTACCAATTCCACCTACAAATACCAGTGCTCTCCACATTTGCATCTTCTGAAAGACTATCTGAGCACAGTGCTGGGTATTTGCAGTATTTTATGGCCACTTAGAGGACCATCAGCTGCCATATTCTTGTGGACACCATGAGTCAAAAGAGAAGTAAAACCTCAAACTCACTGAAGCCCAGGACTTCTGTACTGGTTTAGCTGTGGTCCCCCTTGAAACACACTCTGGTCAGACCCCTAGCGAGCTGCCTTGGTAGGGCTGACCCTGGACTGGGGAATGGAGGGGACTCCTGCTTCACTTTAGTCATCTGGACAAGCACTACAGCTTCCTTTCTGCATGGGCTTGGTAACAGCATAACCATTCCCTTTCACACTCCCAGAAGGTCAATGTTAGCCTATTTAGACTTTCTCAAAGCTATTTTAATTTTACTTGTGACATTTCTACTGAGGCCACATTTGGGAAACAATTGCGGAGAGCAGTGAGTCAATAATTCTGCTGTGGTGGCTGTCCCTCAGTGATGGTACAAACCTTTCCACACCACACTCAGAACATGTGGAAATTATGTGCAGTCTTCCAGGAAGCTTTTAATTTGCTATTCATTTCCAGCAACAGGAAAGGCTTTCTCAGATTTCCATTTTAAACACTAATTCAAATGAAGTCTGAAGATTATTGTTTTCTTATGCAAAATGAATGAATAATTAATTGTCATGGGATTTCTCTGTGTAGTTCCCATCCCTGAGGAATTTGAGCAACTGATGGAGTCCTCGAGATTGAAAACAATTCATAAACACAGGAAATGCAGTCTCTGCATGAATATTCATGATTATTCCACATCATATTCTGCCAATAATCCCACTGTTGCTACACCATGCATCCAAAGCTCATAAGTTATGGCTCACGTGATGATGATACATTTCAAAGAATGCTCAAGATATAATCACCTGTAATTTCAATGGAAAAGCTGGCAACAATACACACCCAGCGTGTATTATGGTAGCTGTAAGAGAGTCATTAGGATGAGATGCAAATATTTGAAATGAACAATGTACAAAATTTGGCAAGTGCTAATAGAACCAGCAGGAAAAAAAAATGTGCAGTTACCCACAATGGAACCGTTTGAAACTATTCAGACCCTGAAAATTAAGCTCTATGTGTTATTCAGGAAACACAGCAGTGTTACCACCCATCTATTGCAACCCAGCCTCTCTCAGCAGCATTCTCACTGGTACTGCCTATATAGGTGTCCCAATAGCATGCTTGTTCACCTGCCCTATCAGTTTATAATGGGCACCTTGGGATAGATCCACACTAAACCCAAGAAAAAAAAACCAGGATTAGTTTACAGTTATCTGTGATCTCTCCACCCCTGCTCTTCTTTGCTGCAGCCTCCTCACTATTTTTCAGCACAGATTCCTGTAGAAAAATCCTCGGTATGGAAACAGCTTGTTTAAATATGGAAAGTATTTTGTGGTTTGTTGATATCCTTGCTCTAATGTTAAAGGACATCCCCTTCTTATCTGGAAAGTGCATAACCATATTGGGTTTATTCCAGTTCCTAAAGAATATATGTATTGATAACACTTACGTAGAAGTATAGATTTGTTTCAGTGGCTTTTGCAAGATGAATGAACTCAAATTCCCAGAACACCTTGAGTGTTTCTTCCAAGCTGTAGATGCTATAAAGCAAATCCTAGGAAAGCCTTCAAAAATGCTTAAAGTTGCTTTCAATGAAGGCTCAAATGTTTGAAAAATTTTCTCAGCAATCAGTTCTCTGATGACATAAAACCAATCTGGAAATCTCACAAGCACTGTCACTGCAAAGTCAGCAATACAAGCCTGTGATGCCACAAAGCCAGTTCATGATATTTTGAGGACTGCACCTCACAGTAGACAATGAAGATGGATATATATTTTAAAAAGCATCTTTAGAACTGAATAGAAACAAAATTTCCCCATCTATTATGAAAACAGTGGCCTAACCAAGTGTCCCAGGTTGGACTTGGCTCTCAGCCAAGTCCCTGGACCCCGGGGACAAAACCTTCCCCCTCCCTTTCACTTTCCCCCAGCCAACCGGAAAAAAAAACCAAAAGAACCCGAACCGAATGAATTTTAAATTTATATATATATATATAAAGAAAACTATATACACACTACCAACAAAAGGGAACTCCCCAAAAGGGAAAGGGAAGGGAAATGGAAAAGGGAAAAAAGGACAAAAAGGGATACAAAAGGGACAAAAAGGGACAAAAAGTTAAATACTCCCCTCGAGAGGAAGCGAACCACCCCACACAGCTACCACAGCACGGTCCGCCTCTCAAGGCCAACCAACACGCCAGGCCTCATTCCCTCACCCGGGCAGAGCGATAGTAGAGTTACCTCCACCTTGGGTCCGCCGGAAGAAAGAGAGCGAGAGCTTCCTCTCTCTCCTTATTTATACTCTTGCTTACGTAAAATTGTATGGAATACTGGGAACATGACCTTGGTTCCTTGGTTACAACCTGATCACCAAGGAAGGCCTAGATTCAAAACCACTACACCAAGCAGAGAGATCCAAGAAGTGTCCCACCTGAAGGGAAAAACTTCCCATTTTGTAGATACCAGGTTTCTGTAGATACAGTTTTACAGATACCAGAAAAACCAGGGAAGAAACTTCATAGAAGTCTCAGAAGTATGAAAAATTTCTGACAATTTTTTTCACATTCACAAACATAATCAACGACAAGACAATAATTCACAAATTCTTATATTCCTGACAAACATGATGAACCTGCTGGAATTTACTCAGCTCTGACTTTCAGAACACTGCCTTTTTACTTTGAGATTAAAACTTGGATGGGTTATCAAGTAACCCAGACTGGTTTATCTGTTTTCCTCTACCCTGTTTCTTAACACATTTCTTGAAAGGCATTAAACGTACAGACTGTGAGGAATTGAATTACCAAGTACTACTACATACACCTGCAAAAATATCTCAGTGAATCTTTCGGAAAAAAATGAAATGGATCCTGGCTGAATTTCTTATGACGCAGAATTGCAAAATGTATTTGTGTCCTATAGGAATTGTTCTCTGCTCAAGAGCCTGGTGCTCCAACTGCTGCTTTGGGGAGCCTAGACGAGCTTAATCTGGGGACTAGGTCACCATCTTAAGTGGTTTCCTC